TGCTGATTGGTGGAATCTGCGGCGTCCAAAGGTTGCACCTCGAGCCGGGCCAAAATGAGGCGCTTGTGCCAGTGAGGCCCACGTGCTTGTTGGCTGGATCCTTGGAGATTGCTGCCGACAAGGCAGTGCCAGTTCTGTGAAGCACTGCGAGTGGTGACTGCAAACAGTAGTCCGGTCACGTTGGTTGAAGAATATGCCCATCTACTTTGCGAACACGGAAGCTTGAGCCTGGTATGGCCTGGTGAGACAACATCGCTGCCATGTCTCCACCGCAATGCAACAAGATTTTGAGACAAACTTTAGAACGCAAGTAGGAGTAGCCTAGGCAAGCCTGGGGGTACAGTCATTGCTCAGCAATGAAATGGACACGCTTGCCAACGCGGACCAGAAAAAACTAGACAATATGTTGGTGTGAAACTGGAAGCAGCCGTGAAAGTTTGGCTTGACTCTCGTGCGATGGACTGCCCAAGCCCGGGGTTCCACACAAGGGAGCGAATTCCGGAGCCATGTCTTCTTCTGGGTCTCGCAGTGTGTCGCCTATAGTTGGAGCAGCAGGCAATGTGGAGGTGAGCATGCGGTTTGACTTGGGGGAGTACAACTCCTTGCTTGCTACACCGCCTCCCCCGTCAGCACGGCCAGAGCCTTCCAGCGCTCCTTCTGCTGCTTCCAAAGGTCCCAACCTTGGTGGCACGATGGGTTTGGGAGCTTCAAGTTGCAAAGAACCAAAAAGCTTGCTTGAGGTTTGCTTCAGCGATGTGCCCTAGAAGACTCCGAGTCACCGTCCTTGGAGAAGAAGAAAGGGAAAAAAGATGATGACAAGAAAAGTAAGAAGAAGGACAAGAAAAGGAAGTGCGATGATTCCAGCGACAGCCCTGCTAAGCCACTATTTGGGGGGCATGAGGATGATGACGACGATAAAGATGATGCAGCCGAGCAAGCCAAACCCAAAAAAAAAAGGGCGCAAAAGGGTGCGAGGGACAAGCGGCCAAAGGCCAAGGCTTCCAAAGACAAAAAGCACAAGTCTGGGAAGCAGCGAGGAAAGAAGCATGAAGATGAACAAGTGAATGTTTCCCAACTCAAAGAAACACCCATGTCTGAAACCATGAAGGCGCTGGAACAGGCCGAGAAGGCCGAATGCGAGGCGTTAGCCAAGAAGTTTGTGGATTTGACAACGGAGGATTCAGCGCAGGACCCAGCTAGCCAACAAATTAAAACCACTTCCCCCTTCGCCATCCTTCGCTCGCAGGATTCGCAAGACCGACAGCCCGACTCGGCTTCGTTGGAGGCGGGTGTGGTTGCAGGCACCTTGGAACCAACAAATGTGCCCTTTGTCAGGCAAGCTCAAGTGACCTGGAGATGAACAAACCCTCACCGCCCCCACGTTTGAAGAGGGCTTGGGCATTGAAGCTGGACACAACACCTGAGGGGAAGGCGGGTCTCATCCTTTTACATTTCTTGGCTCATCCCAAAAGAAAACAATCTGAAAGGTTTGCCCAACATTGCCCATTTCCGCAGGCCTGCCTGGACACGCAGCTTGACACGTCAGAGGCGCTGGAAGTGCTGCCTCGGCTGGCGTGGTGTGGGAGTTGCGTTGAACCCTGGGTTGTCTCTCCAAGCATGATACCAAGAACAAAATGCAGTTTTTCAAAGCATGGCAACCTTCGCATGACTGGCCCTCATTTGTCTTCCCCTAGCTCCAAATACCATTGGATGATTATTGTTAGGGGCAACCTCCTCCTTCTTAGTCAGGGGTCAACATGAAACTTTTAAACCATTGGTATATGGACTAGGGGATCTTTTGCTGCCCTAAGCAGCCCTTCTCAAACAGGGGAATTGAATACTGAACTTCTCCCTTGTTTCTCAAAATGTGTATTGTTTTGAGGGAACCACGCGTTTCAATGGCGGTCGCCTTTGGGTTTTCCTGCAAACCACCCCTTTTTAGGGTCGCATCATGGGTTTTCCTGTAAACCACCCCTTTTTAGGGTCGCCTCAAAAAAGAAAAAGGACACCCAAACGGTACCGCAAGATACTATCAGTTCCGGAAGAGATTCATATTACACCAGGTGGCGACAGGAAATGAAGATGTCCATCATCCCGCGGAGCTTCAGGACCCTTTCAGTGTGGGTGTGTTGTTTTGCTTAAGGGAAGGGGTCCAAGGGAATGACAATTGTTTGGTTAAGGGACACATACCTGTTACAGCCAGGGCAAGCCTGCTACGTGCTCGGTATGCTTAGTCCAAAATTCGATAGCGCACTCGCAAACAGGACGGCAACCATCACGCTTCCTTTTCACCGCGCAGCTCGCAAGACACCTATGTTTTTGACAGCGATTGGATTGCCAACAGGGTGCAAGACAAGCAGAAGAGAGAGGACCTATTTTCCTGTGCTTCTGCGCTACGTTGCTATTTAACACGTGGATTGTTTACTGACAGGAAGCATCGCAGCGGTTTGCCGAAGTTGCAGCAAAGGACCCTATGAATCTTTCCTGACCCCTTTTTTTTGAGCTTGTCCAGGAGCCCGGCAAGTCCAAAGAGCTCTTGGCGTCTAAGCCATTGCACCAGGACCTGGGACACAACCATTTCACAAAAAGCTTCGTCATTGCCCTTTTTTGGACTTGGGCGTTGACTTGGAGGATTTGGAGGACTTGAAGGAGTTTTGTCCTGTTCTTTGTGTCTGCCAATTTCAGGAATGCGTGACGATGGCACCAGTTGGCTTTGCGGACGTTATCATCCCTTCACCATATTACGAGGCTGAGCCGACAACTAGGTGCTTTTCACCGGTGTTGCATAAACCAGTGGTTTGCGCATCTTGGTTTCTGGAGGACTCCCATTGTCCACCGGAGCTTGTGGAGGTCAACATGGATCTCAAGCCACATGTGACCAACACTCAGGACCGGAAAGCTCTCCTGCCAATTCCTCTATGTTGTCTTTTGCCCGCCAGGAACATATGATGGTGGAACCCATCACCAACGCTCAGGACCGGAAGTTCCCCTGCCAGTTGCTCTACGCTGTTTTTTGCCCGCTAGGAACAGGAACCTGTGATTGTGGATCGCATCACCAACGCTCAGGACCGCAACTGCCAGTTGCTCTATGTTGTTTCTTGTCCGCCAGAGGGACAGGTACTTGTGATTGTGAACCCCGAACAGGAACCTGTGATTTTGGACCCCATCACCAACGCTCAGGACTGCAACTGCCAGTTGCTCTATGTAGTTTCTTGTCGGCCAGAGGGACAGGTACTTTTTGTGAACCCCAAACAGGAACCTGTGATTTTGGGCCCCATCACCAACGCTCAGGACCGGAACTGCCAGTTGCTCTGTGTTGTTTCTTGTCGGCCAGAGGGACAGGTACTTTTTGAACCCCGAACAGGAACCTGTGATTTTGGACCCCGTCACCAACGCTCAGGACCGGAAGTTGTTTCTTGTCGGCCAGAGGGACAGGCACTTATTGTGAACCCCGAACAGGAACCTGTGATTTTGGACCCCATCACCAACGCTCAGGACTGAAAGTTCTCTTGTCAGTTGCGCTATGTTGTTGTTTTGCCCGCCAGGCAGAACCTGCAGAACCCAAGGTTGTGGATGCTTCTGAGTCGACAGTTCCAAAAGCGAAATGCGCATCAAAAGCTCGGGCAAAGCCCAAGAAATCGGAGGTGTCCAAATGTGCGAAGAGCGCACCCAAACCAAAAGAGGCACCCAAGCCGAAAGGTAAGGGGAAGCCACAACCTAAGCCAAACGCGAAGGTGGTCAAGGAGGATAATTACAACAGAGTGTATTCGCGAGTTTATCGCAGGATGCTTGCTGGCGGTAGCACCAAGGAGGATGCTGCCGCTGAAGCCCGTTCCCAGGCTGACCCTTGGTCCAAGGCCCGGGCCAAGGCCAAGGCGTAGGCGTGGAGTGGCCACTCGGAGCCAAAGGATTGGGGAAAAACCACAGCGCATGCGCAGCCCTTGACAGGCAGGCGGTGGCGGATTAGATGTTGGTGGCTGAACAGTGCCCATTGAAAACATCACACAGGGAAGTTCCAATTGTTTATGGGGGAAGTTCTGGTTGGAGCGGGTGCCTCTTTTTTGTCCATCCACTTTACCCCAAAAGCCAGCAACAGTGACTGGAAAAAAGCAGCAACTTGGCTGTCCAGGAAAACCCAGAAGGAACCGGCTAATCGGGAAAGTCGGATTCTGACCAAAACAAACTCTGCTAGGTCCTCCAGTAGAGAGAGGTTAGAATATGGGTACCCGATTGTTTCCTTTTCTGTAATTCGTCCATTTTCGTAGGGGAACCTCCCCCAAAAAGGAAAAAAGGTGGGAAAAAAACGGAGAAAACAAAAAAAAGAAACGGTCCAAGTTGGCACCGATTGCTGGACCCGTCGCCTTTTGCTTTCCAAACCTCTCGAATCCTGGCCTCGGGGCGCTGCGTGGCCACGATCCAGCGCACCACGTCCACTGTGGTTGAAACCGGGCGGTTCGCGGCTTGGGATGCGGCGGAAGAAAAAGAAAAAGACAAAAGGCGTAGCTGGAGTCAGCCCTGGAAAAAGGGGTGGCCCCAAAAAATGGGGTCATGAGCCCATTTTTCAAGTGGAGACTCTAGGTACCAACTCAAAGGAGAGGCCCTGAAGCATTACTATAGTCCCAGGACTCGTGGTTTCACCTGTACACATCCCCCACAACAAAATCCGTCAGAGACGGGAAAAGCGCATGGTTCCCGTGGTCGGAATTGCTAATGGAGGGGGAAAAAAAAAACACAGGGCGCCGGAAGAATTTGCCTTTTAGCTGGAGATCCTTTGGTCGCCAGAATTCGGGGATTCGTCCACCACTTTGCGGTTGAATATCAGAGCCAATTCTGTCTCAAAAAAAGAAAATAACAAACACTTGAAGGAGGGTCTAAAAAATCCCAAGTCTACTTTGCACAAGGAATCCCAAGTTGGGTGACCAGTTGAATGGGTTCTAGAAACTGAGGCTTTGATGCACTTGATTGTCGCAGCAACTCTGCGTCCGCAAAAACCCAAGGGCTCACGAGCGTGGCGAGCCCACGCTCGTGAGCCGCGTGGCTCGTGAGCCGCGCACGCCCCACGACTTGGGGGGTCCACCGCCTGGATTCTCAGCTGGGGTCGAAGCTTCTAAAATACGGATCGTCCAGAAACTGCCGAAAATTATGGCCTAAAAATCGGTGGTAAGGCTGGCGTCCTTTCGGCTTCTCATTGAAACCACACTTACAAAACCAGAGCTCAACCAACGCAGCCATTGGAGAAAAAAAAAAAACTCAGCTTTTGCCCGTCCGGCGATACTGTGGATGGACCAAATCCTGCACCACACTTTAAAACGATGGGAAACCAGCGGTTGTTGGTATTTGCAGGGGAATCATCGTTCCGGGGTCTCTTCGGTGGTGCAGGATTGCGTCCACCATCCACAGTATTAAGTGAACCTTTAGCATGCTGGCACATGGCCTTGAAGCAAGCAAAAAACAACCACCAAATCCGTAGACATCTCCGCCAACCAACTCTCCAGATTCGAACATAGATCCCCAAAAACACATTCCTACAGTTTCCTCTCTTGGAAAATGGTTCCTTTGTGGGGGTCCTTCTTTGTTCATGTGCAGTGAGAAGAATGCCCCACCAGAGAAGCCGAGGGGAACACCAAAAGAAAAAACAAGAATTAACAATGGGGAAGCCAGCCAGCCAGCCAACCCACCAACCCACCAACCCACCAACCCACCAACCCGCCAACCCACCAACCCACCAACCCACCAACCCACCAACCAACCAACCAACCAACCAGCCAACCAACCAACCAACCAACCAACCAACCAACCAACGATCAAACAAGCACAAACAATCAAACCGAACCCCCGGAACAACAACAGAACAAAACAAGAACGGAACAACAACAAAGCTCGGAACAAAATCAAAGCTCGGAACGACGAATCTCAAAACGAGACAGAACAAAAAACCAAACAAACAACCACACAAAGAACAACAAAGTGCACTCTTCCGCAAAAACTTCCTAAAGGGAAAAATGTTGGACCTCCCAACTCGAGCGCGCTCTCCTCGCTTTCTCGCTTTCTCGCAAATAAAACCAAAAAAAAAACTTCCGCCTGAGAAGCCGTAGAGCGAGCCGGCGCCGCAGGGCTCCAACTCCACCGCGCCGGGGCAGCCCGCCAGCAGGTGCCTCCCCGACGTCCGACGTCCGACGTCCGACGTCCGACGAAACGAGCGACGGAAGCGCAGCGGGTGTTTGTCGGTTTTCAGGAGGGGAGTCGGAGACGCTAGCTCCAGAAAGGGGGGCGTACCTGGAGCCTCCATGACCCTTTAAAAATAGGTCCATGACCCCATTATTTAGGGCAATGACCCCATTTTTAAAGGGTCATGGAGACTCTAGGTAAAGGGCGTTTTTTTTTGGGCCCGTGTCCCTTTGTTTTGTTTCTTCTTCTTTTGCCTCTGCTTCATTTGTTTGGTGGTTTTCCTCTGCTTCTGTTTTGGTGCGGATGGCATGCGATCTTTTGCTGGTTGTTTGGTTGGTTGCGGTTGTTTGTTATGTGATGTGTTCTGCACTGTTCCAAACGGTGCGTGCCGATTGGAAAACCACTACTCTAAGGGTCATGACCCCTCCAATGCAGACCCCGGACCCTTGGGTCCTCAAAAACAACCCATTTTGAGGGCAAAAAAACAGTCGGGACCCTTAGGGTACCAAGAAAACCCCTTGCGTAACCCAAGGTAAGGATTGAGGATTTGGAACAAACCAGTCCGGGGCTCTGATGAGCCCTGTGGCTTTTGGGCGATGTCTGGAATCAATTGACGCCCAGGGTTGAAAGCTTCACAATCCATGGAACCAAATTCCTGTATGCTCACACATACCCAACTCTGGGCTCTGGGTGGTTCAAAGACGGATTGAGACACAGGTAGTTTGGGGGTAAGCAACCCCAAGGTTCCGGAAACTCCAAACTGGGTTGGTAGAATCCCTTTTCACCGGGGTATTTCAGGGTCTAGGTAAAGAAGGGGAATTCACGAACCAGAATCTTAGGTTGCAACTGACCAACCATCCTTGCGGTAATTTGGCCATGGGTCAAAATCCCGCACCCCCAGTGAACATCCCAAACCCAACTAAAATCCCGGTTCTAAAATGGGTGTTGAATTCACCTACCAATTCCAAACTGGGATCCCACTGCTTTTGACCACCACAGCCATAGGGTGCCAAATTTGTTTCCTCTGGCTTCCTGGGTTTGGGGGACAGGGGGCCAAGACATTCAGAGCTCCTTTGACCCCTTCACATATCGCCTGGAGAAAATCGCACACTGCCTCAGATGCTACGCCAAAAGGGGCCACGGTGGTGGAGAATGAGCGTGGGTTTGAATCCGGGTGTCCCATAGCGAAAGGGAATGCCAACTTGGCAACCCATCTAGGTCCTCCAGTAGAGAGGTTAGAATAAGGGTGCGTAGTCTATTTTAGTAGGGGAACCCTCCCCCAAAAAAGGGGTAAAAGGGCACTACTGGGGGGCCTAGCCATAGTTGTGGACAAATTGGCTCAAGTGGGACAGTGTGGGCGAGGGGGGAGTAGACTCTGACTTGACATGCTCCCTTGTACTGGCCCGGACCAACCAATGACATCCACCCAACCCGCTGCATTGTGTTCAGATTCAAAACGCAACTTGAAAGACCACCAAAAACCAGAAAGAGCGATCAAGTTGAGATACCCCCCCCCCCCGAGAGAGGGAGAGAGTGTTTTGGAAGCTCCAACACTGGCAGCAGTTGTCTTTTCAATCTCAACTTTCGGGGGAACCCAGCCCCTGAGAGAGAGAGAGAAAGAACAAACTCACTGGCCTCATTATTCTACCATCAAAGTCACCCCCGTTCAGTGGTGGGTTAAGGGAAACAACCCCATTTTCTGACTTTGACAACCCCCAGAAACCGTCAAGAACAAAAGACCCCAGACTCACTTGGCAAATGTTCGGACAAAAAAAAAAAACATCAAAACAACAACAAAACAAACACAGAAAGAGGAGAAGAAGAAAAAAAAACGGCTCGCCCCGCGCAAAAAAAAATCGAGGTGCGTGGGGGTGCGCTCGCAGAGCCGGCCCAGCTGCAGCCGCTGGAGCGCCTCCTCCTGCCCGCGTTGCCGCTTTGGCAACCCCTTTGAAGGGGCGCGTCCTCCTGGGTCCTCCCGGTTTCCTGGACCCTCAACCTACCTGGACCTGATTTATTTCCCCAAACTGGGTTGGTTGAATCCGTGCTCACCAGGTTATTTCAGGGTCCAGGTACATAAGAAAGGGGAATTCATGAACCAGAATCTTAGGTTGCAACTGACCAACGCATCCTTGAGGTAATTTGGCAATGGGTCAAAACCAGACGCCAAACGCACCCCCAGTGAACGGGACCCAATCCAACCACTAAAATCCCGGTTCCAAAATGGGTGAATTCACCTACCCCCAAAATGGGATCCCATTGGTTGTGACCACCACAGCCATTTTGCGGGTCCAAATCCCGACTTTGACACATGACTAGGATTCAGAGCCTCAGCAGCAACGGTTACTCCAACAGCGGATCCCAACACCTGAAGCTGTCCTTGTAGAGAATCCCCGTCAGTTCCCCCATTCTGGACATGATTTTCTGAGTGGATCTTTGGTGGACATAAATATGAGCCCTGGCATGCGCTTGGGACATGGGAAATTTTTGTGTTCTCTGCGAAACCACTGGATAGTTTGAACGCGCCTATGCAAATTCGCCAAGGAATGTTGAGAAGCAAACCATGGCCCTGAAGGGGAGCACGTCCAAGCAAACCCAAACTGAAGATTCGCTATGAAAGGAAGCAGAGGTTGCCAGTTTCCTTTAAGAGGTCGCTATGCTTTGCAAGTTATGATGGGTGAATACTGCCTCTGAGAAAACGAAGGGTCTCAAGACGTGGGTTTCGGAGATCCCATGCTCCATAATTCCAAGTGGAACACCACTACCGGGGACACCAATGCCACCTGGCAGGATAGAGGATTGATTTCGACCAACCCAAGGAAAAAGTTTATAGTGAATCGGCTGAACATCGGCCTGTAGCCCATTGTAGCCCTGACACGCACAAGGAGGATAGGGACACCAGGAGAGGACCCCCCCTGCAAATAACATGGAAACCCCAAACCAGCCATGTTCAGAGGAATATGGTTTTCGCTCGGGTTGCTTCAAAGTAGATCCTTCCTCCGTTGGACCAGCGGAGTTTCTTCCCTTCAAACCAACCCTTCCCCCCCCCCCAGAAAAAAAAATAAAAAAAGAAAAAACACATCTATATATATATATAAATATATAATACGTATACTAAAAGACCCCCCCGCTCGCTTCCGCCCCCACAGACCCCCAGGGGGTGGGTTTGGGTGGGGGGGTGTGGGGGTCTGTGCGTCCTCCAGGGGCCGGGAGAGAACTTCGGGGCCCAGCACCGCCCGCAGCAGCCGCGGCAGCGCCTGGCGCCAGTCCACCACCGTGTCCTCGGCTCACGGACTCGAGCGCCCCCGGATGTTTTGGCTGGGACCCGGCGCGGGTCAGCACCCATCCAAGGGTGGCTTTCCATTTGCACTGGCTCTCACAAGAGCTGCAGGTACAAATGGACCGATTTTGCAGGGTGCTGGTGGTGGGTTTGTTTGCTTTTTGGTTCGGGTCAAGCGCGAGAAAGAGAGATGAGGTGTGGAAAATCCGTGGCATTGAGATGTTGAAAGGTCGAACCAAAAAAAACGGCATTTTGTGTAGGTCTGAGTTCACCTAAAGGCCCATTTGGGACCCGTCCGTGCGAACGAGGGGTTTGTTTGTGACCTTTTGTTGTTTTGGGGGGAGTGGGTGATACCTGGATGGTTTTCTCGTTGGTTCCTATGATAGGCAGACCCATCCAACTGTCGCTTCAAGCGTTTTCAGGGCGTTCCGGGGCTTCCAGATCTGCAGAGGTCACAAGCAGAGGATGCACCAAGGAAAAACCAACGACTTTGAGGGAAAAAGTTGGGGTTGAGAACTGTGAATGGACAAGATCCAGTTCGCACCAGTTTGGGACATAGGCCTATGACAAATGGAATGAACCTACCAATTGGTGCAGGATTCTGTGCTTCAAAAGACGGATCATGCAATTCACATTCACATGGGTATTTCAATCCAACGCCCATGTTCACGGGTCTTCAGCCAACCACAGTTGCGCACCTTGTACGGCCCGCTAAGCGGAACCCAGATGGCCAATCACGAGAGCCCGACCCTTCAATCTGTCACTTTCCTTCTGGCTTCCCTTTGAACCAAGGTGAAAGGGTACCTTTCGCCTCGAAGCCATATGAGGATTTCTCAAACTGGTGAATCGGCCACCCCCTTGTTGGTTGGTTTTTTTAGGGAAACCACGCCTTTTGGAGTGTCCCCACCCCCCTATGTTGGTCACTGGAACCCACTGAGTCACGCTTGCTTCTTCGTCAGTTCCGCATCAAGCTGAGGTTGCGACGCCGTCTTGGTGAAAGATCAGCTGGGCATCGGGATATCTTTGCAGCGCCCACCTGAAGTCGCCAATCGCACCCCTAAACCAAAAGGGGCTACAGGGGAGGGTCTCCAACTAAGTTCACACCAAAATGACAACTCACTCGTCAATGTTCGAGGGGGAAAGCCAACAGACCCCCCCTCCCCCCGTTAAAAAGGCAGCACACATGGATATGACGCACTTACCATGGTTGAAGTTCCTAGGGTTCCCTCCAAAACATACAAAGCCACATGCGTGAACCCCATCCCATGGCCTTTCGGGACGTCAGACCTGGGATCCCAGGCTTTCTCGCCCCGACGGCCGTCCCGCGCGGCTTCTGGTGGCCAACTTGCGGGGAAAGGGAAGGAAAGCCAGCCACCTTGGGCCGACCGCCGTTTTTTGCCTTGCAAGCAGAGGGGTGTGTTGCGAGGGGGACACTTCCACCCTTTCTTGGGTGACCAACCCGTGTCGGGCGTTGGCCCGGCACGGCTTGGACAATCAACCGACACCCTCCAGTCAAAACCGAACATCGCTTGGAAAAAGATGTCGTTACCCGCAGCTCGCTTAGCCGACTTGGATGCTCACTTTCGAGAATCTCTTGCTCAACTCCACCTCTATAGGAACCCTTGCCATAAATTCTCCAAATCCAAATTGAAATCGCGCAGCAAACAAACCGCCGGACCTTGCGGAGTCTCAGGTTTCACCATGTCCCGCGTCCGTGCGTCCAGGTTGCTGTCAACCAACTGGATTCAAGAAACGAGCTTACAAGGGGCCTACGGTACGACTCGGGAAGTGGTGTTTCTTGGGAATTCACCAAGCCACGGGAAACATGTGGGACCTGGATAGCCAAGTTGCTGTTTTTTTCAGTGGAAAAGAAAGCAACAACTGGCAATCCAGGTACTTTTTTTCACAATGGACACTTGCTTTGTTACTGGACTGGACAGAACAAGTCATCTTCCAGAGGAAAGCCATGCGGCCAGTGTCCAGCTACAAACTCTCTCCAAGGCCGTTTTTTGGGCGTACCCTTCTCAGGTTCCTCTGAAAACAGAAGCAGTTCGAAGTACATTTTGTTAGGTGGTTCCCTGTTCGGTTGTGTCTTTTTTGGATAGTGCCCGCTTTGGTGTTGGGTCCCAGGAAATTTCTGAGTTTCCCACTTTGAGATTCGTTTATCTCCGGCCGAAGGCGCTGAAAGGACAGCCACGTCTTCTCAGAGTTCTGACCGGCCTGCAGAAAGCAAACCGAATCCATCAAAATCAACGAGAAACGGACCCAAAGACCCCGGGTCAAAGAGGTTATTGGGTAAGCCCGGCCAAAAACAACCGGCCACGTGTTTTTTTTGTTTTTGTGCGGAGGGGTTCAAAAGCCTTTCTGGGTGACGCCAGTAAAACGCCGTATACGTACCTTTTTGGGTCCACCAAAAAAGCCACTCTCTTTCCTTTTTGGGGGGGGGCCAACCCACAGGCCAGGCCGCCGAAAGGTGACCTCCCCGCACCCTCGAAGTTACGCTGTCATCCACATGCATGAAGAGCTCCATTCCCTTCAAAATTGTTCAGCAATTGCGTTTAAACAAAATGCTTGCTGCCCCAAGATTCTGGTTGGTGACGTTCCCCCCGTTTTAAGGCGAGTTTCAGGGTATCCCACCACCGAAGCCCGAAGCTCGGTTCCTACCCCGAAGCCAAGGGTTTTACCCTAGTGAGGAACAATCGGCTGGCAGAATCCAAGAATGGTGCGAACGTCCACGCACATACTTGGAGGTTGCCCACAAAATCGGTGGCAATTATTGAAGCTTCATGTGGGTCTGGGTGTTTTTTAGGGGCCCCCAAAATGGTTGTTTTCCTTTGGGTTGTCCTTTCAAACCACAAAAAAGATTGTGCCCTCAAAAGAAACGCACCCGTATGTGAGGTAATTACCCTGCCCTTTTCCCGTGGAAGGGTAATCTGCATGTGCTGAATTCTTACTGACTATGCTACCCTTCGAAAGTCAACCTGGGGTCTTCCTTTGCCCGGAACGAAGGCGACTCAGCGAGATATGGAAGGGGACCCCACAGGGTGAACCGCAAGCCCCAAAGCAAACGAACAAACCAAAGAGTTCAAACCAAACCAAACTGAAACAACTAAAACCAACTCAAACCTGCCCTACCTGTCCCAAACGCACCCCAAGCCCGCCGTCTCGAAGCTGTCTGTCCTCAGGTCTCAAGTGTTGGTTCCGAAAATCGCTGGAGAAATGGACACCCAGAGGCTCCCGATGCATTTAGGGCCCTCAAACAGCTAGGTTTTGAGACCCCCAAACACCTCTGGGGTGTCCAATGGAGGGGTCGGGTCTTCCATTGAAAGCCCCAGGAGCCTTTGGGCATAGGAAATGACCAGAAGGCAGGACTATTTTCTTTTGAGCCGGTACCGAAGCCTTTTCTTTGAGGTTGGGCTTCCACATCTTTTGATCTGGAGACAAACCCCCAAACCCGTTCCTGACACCAGAAAGGCAACCATTCTTGGCAGGGGTCCATCCCTGGGTCTCCGCCATCCCCCCCCCCAATTGGTGGCCTGGATATGGAGCAACCCCTGGTTCTTGTTGGGGTAAATGGGAAACCACCCACAAACCTCCAAGCCGCAAATTCTGCTGAAGGATGGGTAGGTTGGGGCACCTTAAAACCAAATTGAGCCGCAATTGCTTAGTCCCAGCAAGTCGCGTTGAAAGACTTTCGCAAGGGGTCCGTGTCGTCGCGTATGGGTCCGTGTCCTCGCATACCTCAAACACAAAAAGGGTCTCAGCGGAAAAGAAACCTTGGGGCCACAACATCTGATGTACCTTTTCTCTGGTGCAGAATGCAGCCAACAGCAGGCATAGTTGGGGAGCACGTTTTTTTCGTCACCAGTGAGACAATTTACCTTACCATGACTACTCGTACACGAAGCTTTACGAGGAACAAGTGGTAATAAAAACCACACATGGCAACACGATATACTGATGAAGCTGGGGGTTCATCAAGTGGTTGAGGAATGTTGGCATACATGCTGCGGTGAGCCATGACGTATCACGGCTACCTGCAAAGCTTCAGGTGGGAGCCTGTTGTGTCGATACATCCTGACAGTTGCCAGCGGACACATCGAGGCGGTCAATGCAACATGGAGCAGTGCTGCAGGCGAGGGATTCGAGAGGACTGTTCAGAAGCCCTGCATGACGACGTGCTAGGAGAGGTGGGTCCATGCAGTCTTCCAAGGCAGGGGGAACTGGGACCAAAGGGTTCGGGTGGGGCATGCCATAAGGTCCCCTTGCCTTGTCCCTTCTCCTCTCTTTAAAAATCCATCAATGTTAACCCCGCAAAAATCAACCGCAGAGTATTAATAGAGAAATAGGGGCGTCCCCAACTTTAGTAGGGAATCATCACTTCTGGAGAAGAACCCCGCAGTAGGGCGGGTTTTTTTTGTGAGGCTTCAAACACAATTTGTTCAACCACCAACAGCTGGCCACAATGCGAAGCAGCTAGAGATCTGCAACCATTGCAACTCCGGACATTTTGCTTACTGCCCCTCAGGGCGGTTGCCCGGCTTCCTCTGCGAAATATGGGTGCGCCGAAACCGGGCCTTTCCGAGCAAAAAGAAAAAACGCCGGCTGGGATGGGAATCCAAAGGCAAACCGCCCAGTTCTGAGTAAAACATGGTAAAACCCATCCTTTGCAGCAAAGCGAAGATACACCCCCGCAAATTCGAAACTTTTGGCTACCCTCCAGCACGGCAAAAAGTGCGAGTCTCCCGGCTGTTGCGGGGAAACTTGCATCCCACGGATGCGGCTCGCGAGAACATTTTTTCGGGGATCCGAGGCCGGGGCATGTTCAGGATCGCCATGTCTCCGAACTCGGCCGCCTGAGTCCCCGCCGCCCGATCTTCTTTTTGATCGGGTTCCCAGGGCAGCCGAGCCAGCGACGGAAACTCCTGGCTTGGTTGAAAGCCCTCGAGTTTAAGAAGAAAAAGCGACAATCTCGTGACTTGGTTTCAAGAAAGGTCTGAATCTCTTCTCCGCAGCCTCACCTTTCAGCCTCTCAACTATCTTTCAATGAAGCTTGAACCGCAGCGAGCTTCTCTGCTTTAGGTCCGCCATCCACGCGTCGATTCATTTCGGGGCCCCTGTATATCCAAATTGAGCTTGTCTGAAAACAGGTGAACCCCCAAAACCGCGGCTTCCCTGCGGCTTCCCTTTCAAAAAAAGAAAGAAAAGCAGCGTCCCTTTCAGAGAAAAAAAAAAAAGAGGCTCCAAATCAAAAAGAAACGCCTTTCCAGGGTAGAATGCAACTCTTCTTTGGAAGCAAATGGGCAAATCCCCACCTCCCCACCTCCCCTCCCCCTCCCCACACCTCTCCCCTCCCCCCCCCACACCTCTCCCCTACCTCCCCTCCCCACCTTCCACCCCTTGCAAACTCCGAAAAATCTGCACTTCCCAACTTCCCACCTTCCCCCCAACCTTCCCTCCCCACAAAATCCCCACCTCCCCTTCCCTCCCCTAAAAAAACTCCGCCCCCGCCTCGCGCTCCACGCGGCTCCGCAGCGCGGACCCGGCGTGCGCCCCCACCGCGAAGCGGGGCCTCACCTCGGCGCCGCTGGAAACCCGGCGCCAGGCGTGGCCCAAATCCAGCGGCCCGGCGAGGTCCTAGGCCAAGCTCTCGAAGAAGGGAGGTGCCAGGGGAGGGGTTTTGGGCGTGTTTTTGTTGTTTTTTTTGTGGGGGGGGGGGGGGGGGGAATCGGATTTGTGGTGCCCTCTTATTTTCTTTTGTTTTGTGGGGAGGGGAGGGGAGGGCTGGGGAAGGGAGGGGAGGGGAGGGGAATACAAGGTGGGGAGGGAACCTGGTCCCTTGCCAACTTCACACCATTGCGGGCCATTCAGGCCAAAGGAAATGGGACGGGAGGCGGAGACAATGTGAGGGGAGTGCCACGGACACCTGTCTATTTTCCGCCAAGAACCCCTTTTGGGGGCACTAGGATGTTGGGCCCCTCAAACAAAAATGGAAGAAAAAGGGCACTCGGATGTTTGGCCCCTCAATAAAAGAGGTAAATTGCACTCGGATGGTTGGCCCCTCAAACAAAAACTTGAAAAAAGGCCCTCGGATGTTTGGCCCCTCAATAAAAAATGCGGATTTTTGGCCCCTCGAACAAACTGGAAAAAAGGGCACTCGGATGTTTGGCCCCTCAAAAACGAGATAAATGCACTCGGATGTTTGGCCCCTCAAACAGAAATGGAAAAAGGGCACTCGGATGTTTGGCCCTGAAAAACAGCAACATGCACTCGGCACAACAATGGAAAAAAAAAAAACACACTCTGATGTTCGGCTCCTCAATAAAAGAGGTACAATGCACTCGGATGCTTGGCCCCTCAAACAAAAATTGAAAAAAGGCACTCTGATGTTTGGCTCCTCAATAAAAGAGGCAAAATGCACTCGGATGTTTGGACCCTCAAACAAAAATGGAAAAAGGCACTCGGATGTTTGGCCCCTCAAAAGAGAGGAAAAATGCACTCTGATGTTTGACCCCTCAAGCAAAAAATTGAATAAGGGCGGGCCCCCTCAAAAACGAGGTAAAATGCACTCGGATGCTTGGCCCCTCAAACAAAAATGGGGAAAAAAGGCCCTCTGATGTTTGACCCCTCAATAAAAGAGGTACAATGCACTCGAAGCTTGGCCCCTCAAACAAAAATGATTAAAAAAGGCCCTCTGATGTTTGGCCCCTCAAAAGAAGTAAAATGCACTCGGATTTTTGGCCCCTCAAACAAACTGGAAAAAGGGCACTCTGATGTTTGGCCCCTCAAATAAAAGAGGTACAATGCACTCGGATGCTTGGCCTCTCAAACAAAACAAGTTAAAAAAATGGCCCTCTGATGTTTGGCCCCTCAATAAAAGAGGTACAATGCACTCGGATGCTTGGCCCCTCAAACAAAATGGGAAAAAAAAAACAGCCCTCTAATGCTTGGCCCCTCAAAAAAAGAGGTACAATGCACTCGGATGCTTGGCCCCTCAAGCAAAAAATGTGCAAAAAAGGCACCCTGATGTTTGGCCCCTCAATAAATGAGGTACAATGACTCGGATGCTTGGCCCCTCAAACAAAAAATGAAAAAAAACACTCTGATGTTTCGCCCCTCAATAAAAGAGGTACAATGCACTCGGATGCTTGGCCCCTCAAACAAAAATTGAAAAGAAAAAAAGGCCCTCTGATGTGTGGCCCCTCAATAAAAGAGGTACAATGCACTCGGATGCTTGGCCCCTCAAACAAAAATGGAAAAAAGGCCCTCTGATGTTTGGCCTTCAATAAAAGAGGTACAATGCACTCGGATGCTTGGCCCCTCAAACAAAAAATGAAAAAAAACACTCTGATGTTTGGCCCCTCAAATAAAAGAGGTTCAATGCACTCGGATGCTTGGCCCCTCAAACAAACTGGAAAAAGGGCACTCTGATGTTTGGCCCCTCAATAAAAGAGGTACAATGCACTCGGATGCTTGGCCCCTCAAACAAAATGGAAAAAAAAACAGCCCTCTAATGCTTGGCCCCTCAAAAAAAGAGGTACAATGCACTCGGATGCTTGGCCCCTCAAGCAAAAAATGTGCAAAAAAGGCACCCTGATGTTTGGCCCCTCAATAAAAGAGGTACAATGCACTCGGATTTTTGGCCCCTCAAACAAAAAAGGAAAAGAGGGCCTTCTGAGGTTTGGCCCTCAATAAAAGAGGTACAATGCACTCGGATGCTTGGCCCCTCAAACAAAAATGGAAAGAAAAAGAACACAATCTGATGTTTGGCCCCTCAATAAAAGAGGTACAATGCACCAAGCCCCTCAAACAAAAATTGGAAAAAAGGCCCTCTCATGTTTGGCCCCTCTAAAAAGCTGCCTCGCAACCCACTTGTTGTCTGGTGTTGATTCCGCGCACGCAACCCACTTGTTGGCAAGGCAACCGGACGCGGCGCGTCCTGAAGCGTGGCGCGCACCATGCGGCGCCAGGCAAAGGCCTGGAGATGAGGTAAGTCCAAGGGGTTCAAACTACCTGGAACCTCAAACCCTTACAAAAGGCACCCAGTTTCAAGGGTACTTTGGAGTTCGCGCATCTTGAGACCTCACGGCCTTTTTGGAGGTCCACCTTCCAATGGAGACCCTGGGCCCTTCAAGCGAGGGCCCGATCATGGTTAGGGTTATGCAAAGGGTAAAAACATGGCATGCGTCCATTTGGTTGTTCAACCCCTGGACAAAATGAGAAAATATTAATATGCCCAGTAGTGAGAATTTCCTTTTGAAACCAACAAGGGAAAATCATAATAATACATATTTTCTTAAGCAAATGGAAGGGTTGCAACACTTGCGTCACGGTGAAGAAAGATCGGTATAAAAATGGTGTACCTGGAGTCTCCATGATCCTTTACAAATGGGTCAATGACCCCGTTATTTTTGGTAATGACCCCATTTTGCAAGGGTCATGGAGACTCCAGGTACCCAAACCAATGTAAAGAACTACAACGGCCGCAACGAATTCTGGCTGGGACTTTCCCTTAACCTTCACTTACCGTTTCGATTGCGGCTCACTTGGGCAAGTCTGAGTAGATTGAATGTGGGAATGAACCAAGGGGTTGAGGAGCATTTCCTCATTCCCCTCTGAGCACCAGCAAGAAAAAGTTCATTTTACAGTAAAAAGCACCATTGTTTAAGGTTCAGGATTGTCATCATCCAAATTGGGTCCTTGCCATTCTCTTGATCGGGACCAAGGAACCATAGGGTAACCCAGTGATTCCAATTTCCCTGGTTTTGTGCGTGGAGGGAACCAGCCTTTCTTAAAATCGCAAAGACAATTGCACAAGGTTACCTATGGAAACTGCGCCCCACTGAACAAGGGAAACTGGGCCCTGCGCAAAACAAATGGCATCCTTGTTCTGGTCCATGGCATCCTTTTTCTGGTCCGACGCCTGTGAAGGGTCTGTCCCCTTCAAGGCAAACTAAGCCTCGGACAGGACCTCAAAACGGCCCGCAACTTCTTGCCCCATCCCTGGCCCAAGGAATTTTGGAGGGGCCTTCGTACCCCTGGTTCTTCAAAACGGAGCGGCCAATCCTAATACTCCCTGGGAAACCACTACTAATTCAAGTGGGTAAGGATTCAGGATTCTGATTGCCTATTTGACATGGTCAAGAGGCAAGAAAGGATTCTTTCGCAGGAACTAATGTGACTTAGCGAATTCTCACACGGAGTGAAATGTGCTTCTGCGAACCATGAGAAGTGGGATCTCTTTCAGAGCAGTGCCCCGCATCTTCGCAGATCCTAGTGCAATTTGTCCAAAGTCACACAAGCAAAACACTTTCTCGAATGGACAATGCCTCCCGTGAAACACGTTCGCGTCCGAAGGGCGTTGCCGCAGGGCAAGCTGAGACCAATACTAAGAATTCCATGGCCTTGCATGTCTCTGTTCCTGTAGGGGCATCCCTTCGCGCCGCGCGTAAAACCCTAAAACCGACGGCGGAATCTCAGCTCTTTCTCGGCTTAGTTCGCTCAGCCCAGTGGCCCCTTGAGTTGCACATAGGCAAACATTTGGAGGGCCCTAAAACTGTCAGGGATATAGCCATGGGTCAAAATCCCGTAGCCAATCCCCACTAAAATAGGTTCTAAAATGGGTGGTGCACCTACCCAAAATGGGATCCCTTTGGTTTTCACCCACAGCCATATAATAATATAAAGGGATCAAGTCAAGGACCTAGTAAGCTCGATCGCCATAGGCAAGCCAAGAGCACCATCAGATGGTTCCCTAGAGAGAAACCAACGAACCACACCCGTTTGTCTGCTTGCTTCTATCAGCGGCTAGTGGCAAGCACTGCTCAACTCAATCAAAATCTTTGCCATGCAGTATTCTGCAATGGTGCGTTCATGCTCTTCGCCTTCTCTTAGTAACACCGACATCCAGCAAGCACTGCGCAACTGCCTGATGGCCCTGTTGTGCGGCGAAATGCAAGAATGTGGAACCATCGTTGGTCGCCTTCTCGGTGTCAGCACCGGCATCCAGCAAGCACTGCACCACCGCCTGACAGCCCCGCTTTGCAGCAACAAGCAATGGTGTGTCACCTTTCTGGTCTGCCTTCTCTGTGTCAGCACCGGCATCCAGCAAGCACTGCACAACTGCCTGATGGCCCTGCCCAGCAGCAACAAGCAACGGTGTGTCACCGTTGTCGTCTGCTTTCTGTTTGTCAGCACCGGCATCCAGCAAGCACTGCACGACTGCCTGATGGCCACGCACTGCAGAAACGAGCAATGGTGTGACGGCCGTGTTGTCTGCCTTTTCTTTGTCAGCACCGGCATCCAGCAAGCACTGCACAACTGCCTGGTGACCGCGCTCTGCAGCAATATGCAAAGGTGTCTCGCCATCTCTTGTAGCCTTCTCTTTGTCAGCACCATTATCCAGCAAGCACTGCACAACTGCCTGATGGCCCTGCCGAGCAGCAACAAGCAACGGTGTGTCACCGTTGTCGTCTGCCTTTTCTTTGTCAGCACCGGCATCCAGCAAGCACTGCGCAACTGCCTGATGGCCCTGCCGAGCAGCAACAAGCAACGGTGTGACGGCTGTGTTGTCTGCCTTTTCTTTGTCAGCACCGGCATCCAGCAAGCACTGCACAACTGCCTGATGGCCCCGCACTGCAGCAACAAGCAACGGTGTGGCGCTCGCGTAGTCTGCCTTCTCCGTGTCAGCACCGGCACCCAGCAAGCACTGCACAACTGCCTGATGGCCCTGGAAAGCAGCAAAATGCAGGGGTCCCGAGCTGTTGTTGGTCACTTTCTCTTTGTCAGCACCGGCATCCAGCAAGCACTGCACAACTGCCTGATGGCCCTGGACAGCAGCAAGATGCAGGGGTCCCAAGCTGTGCTTGGTCACTTTCTCTCTGTCAGCACCGGCATCCAGCAAGCACTGCACAACTGCCCGATGACCGCGCTCTGCAGCAAGATGCAGGGGTCCAAAGCTGTTGTTGGTCACTTTCTCTTTGTCAGCACCGGCATCCAGCAAGCACTGCACAACTGCCTGGTGACCGCGCTCTGCAGCAATATGCAACGGTGTCTCGCCATTGCTTGTAGCCTTCTCTTTGTCAGCACCAGCATCCAGCAAGCACTGCACAACTCCCAAATGGCCAGTTGCAGAAGCATTGTACAGAGGTGTCACATGGCTGTTTCTGTCAGCAGCATCGGGATCATGAGGCTTCTCCAACAGCTCTATTACATGTTGTGCGTCGCCTCTCTCTGCCGCTTGCAGCAAGTCAATGCAAGTTGCCAGACCGTCAGCTTCACCTTCCGCTGCTTCAACATATTGCCGTTTCACGGCCGTCAAGCACTCAGCATTCTCCCACAGACTCCCTGGCCCCAACATGCTTAGGTTGCCAACCAGTGCGAGCTGCCTGAAATTCGGCAAATGCAATCCTTACTTGCTCAGTGGTCATGGAAAGAAAGGACAGCGCCATGTGACATGTCAAAGAAACAGCCAGCCGCCATCTATTGTTATATGGTCAGTTCCCATGAACAAATGGACAGCCCCGTTTCATTTGTTGCTGTTGGTTGATCTTGAATAAATACAAACCAAAAAACGAGGAACACCGGGTACTAATGGGCAAGTGGAAATCTCTTGGCGACGTGGCGTCGCAATGCGTCGAGGAACCAATCCGCATCTTCCTGTTCACACAGCTCGTCCCGAAACTGGGAATGCTCCGCCGTCGTCATCACATCCGTGCCGTCTAGCAAGCGAACACACGCCATGAGTGAATTGGTCACGCCTGTGCTCGAGCTTTTTGCGCCTCATGCGTTGCATGTGAGTCAGTTAGAAAAAGCAAGCGCACAAACACGCAAAAGGCAACAATGGAACCCCTCAATAATCGATAAATTCGCCGCTTGCGGAGGAACAGGGAGACTCCCAATGTTTCATGTTCTTGGGTTGGTGTGGGATTGAATTCACAGCTGGCCCAAACATCAACAGCAGGCACAATCCCAGCCACGAGAATTGATTCAGTTGAGAAGATTGCACAGATTGCCAGTTGCACGCTGGGTTGCAGAAGAGAGTCAATAAATGCGGCTTAACACCGTCGAGCCTTGACCCTGATTAGGGCTTGGCGAGTTTTGGAACATGTCTAAATGTTGCATGGACGGATGTGCCACTGTCATGACCAATGAATTGCGCTATATGCGTGCTAGGCGAAGCATCAATGCGACAGGGGCGCAATACTGCCTGAAGGCTCTCCATCAATGGTGCGGCCTTGAGCAGGAAGTCAAGAAGATGGTCCGTCTGTGTTGGTTTGTCCGCGGGTAGGCGCGAAGGTCTCACTGATGGAAAAGGTTCAAAATCTTGAGACCAGTCAGGCGGTCCATGTGCGTGATGGTTGCTCTCACCTGGTGCAATGCGCGAAGGTCATTTCGAGCCTCCTGGTAGCACTCGTCTCTGGACCATGTCGGAGAGGTAGGTCGGGTACTCCAGGTTCTTCAGAAAATGTCGACGTCCTTGGTAGGATCCTTGCGCGCTTCAGGGGAGGCAAAGCGCAGCGCACGTGGTATTCTTCTGGTAGTACTTCAGAGGCCACTCACGCACTTGGCCTGGCCAAAACGGTCGACTGCAGCGGTCGCCACAAAGTCAGTGGACGAGTGTGTGGATGCTGGCCACACAGGAGGGTCGCAGGTACAAAAGCTGTGCCAGCTGCGTAATCCGCTACAAGATCCAGCAGGCGGTGGATGGAGGTGCGGGCTTGGGATGCAGCACTGACCACCCGTGCCACCCCCTACCTTTTGTCTTTGGAAGTAGACGGGGATTGCCGAAATGGGGCGTGCCGAAGCCTGCGCATGCACATTGGATGGGTCGTCTTCGGGGCCGTGGTCGCAGTGAAGGTGGCCGACGTTGAGGAGGGTGCCCGCACGGCTGTGACAGTGCAACCGCTGGTTCTTGGAGGAAGGAGACGCGCGTCGAAAATGGGCTGGCACCGCCTTCGCAGAAACGTTGGCAGCGCG